GGATATCTGTGAGACTGTTCCAGTTAAGATAAGGGTCCTAAGGAAAACAACAGGTGGCGGGCCAAGTTAAGGGGGGTCATCATGACTGTTTGACCACCCAGTTCCTGGAATCTTGGTGTCTCTGCCAAACTTTGACACAAACCGTGGTCTCATGTAAACGTACCAATCAGCCCCCTGTAACCATGCTTCTCGCTTCTGTACCCGCGCTTCTGCTCTAAAACCCTATAAAAACCCCAGCTTTCCACCCAGGGGGCGCGCAAGTCCTCCGAGTGACTTTGCTGCCCCGGGTACCCGTGTATCAAAATAAAAGCCTCTTGCTGTTTGCATCCGGACGCCTGGTCTCGTTGTTCCTTGGGAGGGGGTCTCTCAGACGAAAGATACCCTCCGGGGGTCTTTCAAGACCAGCTAGAGTTACATAATGAGACCTCTGGATACAAATATTGTGATTTTTTCCTTGGTTTTCTTTTTTTAATTAAGTTTTTATTACTTGTATATTATTTACAGTTTATTTACTCTGTATCCCAGCTGTAGTCCCCTCCCTCATTCCCTCCCAATCCCACCCTCTCTCCCTCATCTCCTCCCTGCCCCTCTTCAAGTCCACTGATAGGGGAGTCCCCTTCCATCTGACCGTAGCTTATCAGGTCTCTTCAGGACTGGCTGCAATGTCCTCCTCTGTGGCCTAGCAAGGCTGCTCCTCCATGGCGGGGGCGTGGGGGGGGAGGGGGACTGTCAGAGACAGTCCCTTCTTTCTTGGTATTTGAGACAGGATTTTTCTGTGTAGTCCTGGCTGGCCTAAAACTTATTCCACAGGCCAGGCTGGCCTTGAACTCAAGAGATCTGTCTGCCTCTGCCTCACAAGTGCTGTGATTAAAAGTGTGTACTACCACTACCCACCCAAATATTGTGAATTTAAATTTTATTTTTAATTAACTTTTTTATATTAGTTTTTTACATACCGAGAGTAGCCCCTCCCTCCCCTCTTCCAAGTCCCCCTCCCATTTCTCCCCCTTCCCCTCTCCCTTTTTCCCCAGAAAAGGGTAGAGCCCCCTTTCCCTAACCCCCTTTCCCATTAACTTTTCCCAGCACATCAAGTCACACCAGGACTGAGCATATCTTCATCCCCTGGGGCCAGGCAAGGCAGTACTGCTAGGGGGAAGTGACCCAAAAGCAGGTAACAGAGTCCAGGTTAGAAACAGCCCCACCCCTCCACTCTTAATTAACTTTTTACATGTCTAAGTGTTTTGCCTATTTGTATGTCTGTACTCCTGCTTGTATGTGAAGCCTTTCATTGCTAAGCCATCTCCCTAGCTCTTTAAGCTTAAACATAATATTTTACATCAGAATTTCTTTAAATAAAAGGATTTCTACATTAAATTAATCCAATTTGTGATGGCTTGAATGAGAAATGTGCTCTCATAGGCTCTGGCATTTGAGGACTTGGTCCCCAGCTGGTGGTGATGTTTGGGGAACTTAGAGAACTTTTAGGAGGTTCAGCCTTTGTTGCTGGCAATAAAATGGGTGTTGTGATAAATAATGTTTATTATTTGTCCTATGATTATCATGGCGATATTATTTAACCCATTATCACAAATAATAAGACATAGACACCTGTTAGATTTTATAATGGCCTTATTTACCTTGGGCTGGGCAAATATTCTACCTACATTGTGTCAATAACGCCACCATCCATCTCCCAGCCCCCATTCAATGCCATCCATCTTAACCATTCCTATCTGGGCTACCTTCCATCCATAATCCCAAGATTCTTGCTTATATTTTTTATGTTGTTTTCTCCATCCATGCCATTCTTGAAGTCCTCACTCCAGCCCACAAGGTTCCTTCTCCGTGCTAATCCATCATGGCATCCTCCTGTCTCCTCCTCCCATCTGTTTCCTGTGATTCTCTTGAATCCAAAGCCCAGGAACCTTAGCCATGCTTACCCCATTCTGCCCAATCAGGTTTTAGGCCTTTAATCAACCAATGTCTTAGGCAGATTTACACAAGGATAGTTTTATCTAGGCAGTAACCAGATCTTGAGGGCCAGTAATTAGCATTAAAATACAAGGATATCAATGGGGGTGGGCTACCATATATATATATATATATATATATATATATATATATATATATAGCGATATATATATATATATATATATATATCGCCAAGTAACTTGCACAGCAAGCTTAACAGAAAGGATTTTTAGGTTGCGTCATATCAACGATGACACAGGATACTGCTACAATCTGAATGTTGGTGTTTCCTCAAAGTTCAAGGTTGAAAAATCCACCCCTCACTGTGCAGGGCAGCACACACCAGAAAAAAGGAATCCTAGCCCTCAATGTCATGGCCTTCCGTGAGTGAGGCCACTGGGAGGGGATTTGACCCTGAGAGTACAGGCCTCATAAACAGATGTAGTGCTTTTTAGAGATTTGCTTTTTAAATCACATGTGTATGTCTCTTTGTGTGATGTGCACATGGGAATACAGTGCTGGTGGAATCCAGTAGAGAGCAACAGATCTCCTGTAGCAGCTCCCTTTATGATCTACCAATGTGTACATAAATATGGAAGAATATCCAACTGGTTTCAGCCTCTCTGCGTGGGATTAGGGTCATACTGGCCAAAAATTATCTAGCCTACTACTTATTTGCTAGACTTTTCTTAAACTTTCCTTTTAAAATGAATTTCAGGCTTGCAGGGGAAAAACACATAAACAAAAAAAGAAATTCCTATAAGTCATTCATGGACATCCACAATATCTACCACACTTCCTTTGTCCTCTCTGATCTATCTGACCTATTGCAACTTTTCAGTTGAATAAAAGCCCATTTTCAACTTTGATTTCAAGCTTCACCCATATGGGGCTAAACTGACTTGACTCTTTCTTGTTGCCACAGATTCACTGAGACTCACTGAGGATTTGAGATCACAAACTTTAAAATGATGCTGGGAGTTGTGCTGATTGACACCCAGCTTGGGGAGAGAGTATGTCTAGAGGGAGAAATGATTCAATAAAGATTCTGGGAGGCCCGTGTTTTGGGTTGAGCTTCCTTCCAATATAAGTGGTCAAACTAAAGTGGAGTCAGTCATGCTAAATGCCAGATAATCCAAGTGAAGGTTTAAAGAAACAGGTCCCAACAGTAAGAGGAGATTCTAGTCCACTTAAGCTAGTCAAATAGGGAAGTTCAAAAGCAAAGTTGAGCCATGGTTTGGATTCTGTGTTCCCTTCTTAGGAAGCCAAGTCCTGCTCTTACTGTCTGTATAAAGTGACAGATGACCATTCTAAGGTAAGGCTGAGGGGAAGGTTTTTATTGTAGATATGAAGGAGAGTTCAGCCAGAGGCATCTGGAAGAGTCCACGGCAGGGACAGAAAGTAGTACATTGAGCACGGACAGCTGGGTGGATTAGGCCATGAGAGAGGATGGGGAAAAGGGGACAAACAGAGGAAGAGAAGAGAGGAAAGCAAATGAGAGGACCAAGAAAGGGGCAAGAGGCTGAAATGGCAGGATTATATAGGAGTGAGAAGCTTAGGGAACTGATGCCCCAGAACTGGAGAAGTTTAGAGTAGGGGGTGGGGTGAGAAGAGCTAAGAGCCACAGGTACTGAATGAGCCTGAAGGCAGGCTTTGGTGTGCTAATAGGTACCACAGTTAGCCATTTCTGTTGCGAATCTGACTCTGCCTAAAGAGAGCTCCCACACTATCGGGAGAGCAAAGTCTGCTTTGATTCATGGATTCCCAATAGTAGCTAATTACCTGGCCTTTGACTTTTTTCTTTTTTTTTTTTTTCTTTTTTAAACATAGGGTCTCTGTGTGGTCAAGGGTGGCTTCCAATTCCCAATCCTTGCCCCCCCCCCCCAGGTGTGTATCACCACACTCAGCAAATTTTATCTTCTGACAGAGGGCAAAGTTTAGACAGTAAGGACAAATTGCCTTCGAAGGCTAGCAAAGTGGGGCAAGGATCAACAAAAACTTCCAAAAGTCCACTCTAATTCCAAAGCATGCTCCTAATAAATATCGCTTTGTAAGTCTAGGTTGGTTATAAGATTCCGCCTAATTTGTAGTGCTGCTTTCAAGCTTGTGAAAGGATTATGGTCTTCACGGTGGAGCAAGGGGGCGGGGGACGACTGAAGTATGGATAAAGGAACATTGCATACATTTGTCTCATCTTTTAATAAATATGATGTAGGGCTGGATGAGGTAACAGCCTGTAATCTCAGCACTTGGGAAGGGTAGTCGGGAGGACTACTGCGTGTTGAGATAGAAAGCAAGACCCTCTCTCCAAAAAACCAACCAGGGGCTATAGAGATGGTTAAGGGCATTTGCTCTGACAGTGGTTGATAATCACGAGTGCATGCAGGGAAAATACTCAGGCATGTAACATAAATAATTATAAACCCAAAAACATCCTGTCTAACCAAAACAAACAAGGTGCCTTTAACGCTCCGTGCTTAAGGAGCCTAAATGAGAACTTTATCAGCAGACCGACGGGACCCTCCCGGCCGGTAACCTCCCCAAATGCCTAGGGCCTCCTCCCCTTCCCGGCAGCCCTTGCGTGGCGAGGCGGGCCTGTCTCCGGCTCTGCCACTCAGAACCTCTTTGGCGGGAGGTTTGAAGACCCGAGCACACTCAGAGGCTCCAGGAGCGGTACTCCGGCTGCACGGTGCGGGCCTGGAGCGGGGTCCCCCTACCGGGTCACCGGGCGCCGTGTGGAGGAGGCCGCGGCCCAGCCCGCAGGAGCGACGCGGCCCTGACCTGCGCGCCCCGAAGCCCGCCCGGCGGCGGACAGACTCCAGCCAGGGCGCCGCCCGCAGTTGCCGGCGCCCGAGCCGCCACGAGGGCTCAAGGTCTTTGCTGCACTGTGTCACGGAGAGGGCAGTGGGGAGAGCACGGTTCTTCCACACACCCCAACCCTGAGACGGCGAACCCCCGGGGCCGCGGCCCGCGCATGCGCACCTTTCTGCCTCCCCGCAGGCGCACGCTCGGTCCAGCCGTGTCTGGTTCGTTCATGGAGGCCGCGGGAGGCGCTGGAGCCGCCTTCCTGAAAGGTGAGGAGACACGCTCAGTTGTGGGGGGCTGTGGGACGCGTGGCCGCCACCGGGGTCTGCTCAAGTCTCAGGTCTAATTCACCGGGGAGGGCCCGGGGGGGAGGTCCTCTCACATCCGGGTCCCCTCAGACTCGGGCAGCCTCACACCCTGGAGTTCCCTCACCCTGGGTTCTGAACACCTGTGTGGACACTCCCTCTTCCCCTACACCTGCTCATCATGTGGTCTTCACCTCCCCGGAGTCCCTGCCATGGCACCTATGTGAGCCCTGGACAGCTGGCAGGAGGATGGGTCCCATCTTAGCTTTCTGAGAGCCTCCCGCCTCTAGGGCCCGGGATCAGAAAAAGTAATAATTTGGTAATAATGGGAGTGGCCTCTTGGTGGGTCCTGCCGGAGTGGAGCTGACACTTGCGGAGCTCTCCAACAACTTGTTCAGTTTCTAGGTAAGGGAGTCGAGGCCTGTTCCTCCTTTACTTAGCAGGGGGGCGGCAGGGTGAGCCTCCAGGGCATCTGCTGTCTCAGCCTGCGTTCACAAACTGAGGAGTGTACTGATGTGTGTAGAGTTTGGCTTTGAGCAAAGAGGTCTGTGTGGAGGGACTTGGCGTGGTAGAGCTGAAAGAACAGACCAGCAGTGCGCACAACTCTGTAGCCAGAGGTGACTGTTTTCATAATAATACCACAGTATTTTGTGAACAAAACCAGGTCTTTTGCCTTGCTCGAAATTACTTAGCAATGGGACACCTGGAATTGGTTTATAACATTTTTTAATTTATTACAATTTATTTACTTTGTGTCCCAGCTGTAGCCCTCTCCCTCGTCCCCTCGAAATCCCACCCTCTCCCTCTCTCTTCTCCTCTCATGCCCCTCCCCCAGTCCACTGATAGGGGAGGTCCTCCTTCCCTTTCATCTGACCTAGCCTATCAGGTCTCATCAAGACTGGCTGCGATGTCCTCCTCTGTAGCCCCTGATAAGGCTGTCCCCACGGGGGGGGGGGGGGGGGGGGGGGGGGGGGGGGAAGAAGGGGCGTGTTAAAGAGCCAGCTACTGAGTTCATGTCAGAGACAGCCCCTGCTACCCTTGCTAGGGAACCCACTTGGACACTGAGCTGCCATGGGCTACATCTGTTCAGGGGCTCTGGGTTATCTCCATGCATAGTCCTTGGTATCAGTGTCAGAAAAGACCCCTGTGCCCAGATATTTTGGTTCTGTTGGTCTCTTCGTGGAGCTCCTGTCTCCTCCAGGGAGTCTATCTCCCCCTTCTTTCATAAGATTCCCAGCACTCTGCCCAAAGTTTGGCTATGAGTCTCAGCATCTGCTTTGATAACCTGGCTGGGTAGAGTCTTTCAGAGGCCCTCTGTGGTAGGCTCCTGCCCTAGTCTCTGTTTTCGCCCTCTTCTGATGTCTGCCCTGTTTGCCTTTCTGAGTGAGGCTTGATCCCTTTACCCAGGGTCCTCCTTCTAGCTCACCTTCTTTAATTGTACCAAATTTTTTATCTTAGCCATTCTGATGGGTGTAAAGTGAAATCTGAGGGTTTTGATTTGCATTTCCCTGATGACTAAGGACTTCGAGCTTTGTTTTTTTTTTTTTAAGTGTTTCTCTGTCATTAGCTCGAAATTACTTAGTGAGGGACACCTGGAATTTTTGTTGTTTTTGGTTTTTTGAGACAGGGTTTTCTCTGTGTAGCCCCAACTGTCCTGGATTAACTTTGTAGACCAGGCCGATCTCGAATTTACAGAGATCCCACCTGCCTCTGCCTCCCAAGTGCTGGAATTAAAGATGTATCCCACCACCACCTGACAAAAAAATTTTTTTTTTGGATACAGTCTCTAATCCATGCTAGCCTAGTACATATGTAGCTGAGGCTGACCTTAGATTTCTGATCCTCCTTCCTAGAACTGGGATTATAGGTGTGAGTTTTCAAGCCTGGTTTATGCTTGTAGTAGGACCTAGTACATGTTAAATAAGCACTCTAGCAACTGGGCTACATTCCAGCCCTTCTTCGAATTTTATTTCTATTTTTTTATTAATTCAATTTACATCTCTGTCATAGGCCCCCTCCCTCATCTCTTCATAGCACCATTCCTCCTCCCGAATCCCCTCTCCCCTATTCCTAAGAATAGGGGAGCCTCCCTACCCAGACATCTGAGCTCATCTATTCATATGAGGACTGAGTTCATCTTCTTCTAATTTTAAATTTTAAATGGAAAAAAAATGGCAAGTGAAAATTATATGAAATTCTCTTTCTTTCTACTTCCTTTTCTATTGCTATATGTAGTCTCTTGCAGCCCAAGCTGGCCTCCATCTTTCTATGTAGCTGAGGCTGGTCTAGAACTCTTTTTTGTTTGTTTTAGGATGGGTTTCTCTAACCTGGGCTGTCCTGAAACTCTGTAGAGCAGGCTGGCCTTGAGTGCTGGGATTAAAGGTGTGCTCTACCACTGCTGCGCTTTGGCCTAGAATTCTTTACCCTCTTTACCTCCACCTTCTAACTCTAAGTGGTAAGATTACAGGCATGTGCTAATATGATAAGCTCCATGAAAAAAGTTATTAGACCTTATTATATTAGCTTGTCAACGCACTGTTGATATCATGGCCATTAAATTGTGTTGTTGGAAGATAGCCTGGCCTGGAAAGCCTGGAATAATTACTGTTTCTTTACAGAAAGCGTAATCCAGGATAATTAAGCCTGGATTAGGAAGATTTAAAATACCACCAAAATAGCAGTGATAATATTTTGAATAGATTCCTAATAGAAATTTTCATTGATTTTCTAACATAAACAGAACAAGAGAAAAACCTGTCGGGGGCGCAATTATCAGAGTGTAGTTTCTGCTAATATCTTGCTTATTTTCAGATATTGTGGCCTATGTTGAAGTATGGTCTTCCAAAGGGACAGAGAATTACTCAAAGACATTTACAAAACAACTTGAGGATATGGGAGCAACGGTAAGAAATTAATATCAAAATGATTAATAGCGCTGGTGTTTTCTTGTTAGGGGAGCTATTCCTTAGAACATGGGGGACCTGGCAGTGAGTGAGTGGTAGGGGACAAACAAAATATGAGTTGGACAGTTGTGCTTACAGAGCAGATGACCTTGAAGGCATTTATGAGGAGGAGTCTAGTGGGAAACGTGAGTCGGGCATTGGTTCTGTGTGGGCTGGTACTTGGACTCAGAAGAGTAAAGTTTCAAAATGAGCAGGTTTCTAAGGGAAGATTATGACTTTAGGCATACTGGAAACATCTCACAGACATGGATTGTTCATGATTGGAGCTTGAGGCAGTCACAGCTACAGACAGTGACATAGGGGTCAAGATCTCAGAGGTCAGGAGAGGATAGCACCATACTCAGATTCTGGTTAGAGTGAAGAGTGCTGAAGGAAGAGGTGAAGTCTTTTGAATATTTAAAGACCAGTGATGGCCTGACCATCAATTTAGGAGTCAAGAGAGAGAAAAATTGTAAGGAGAATATTGAAAACAAGTATGGAAGAATTTAAAAGAGGAGTGTTCAGAACAACCGAAGAAAGGTAAGATATTCTTGAGGTTTGAAACCTGTGAGGTCGTTACCTTAGTTCACTTTCCCATTATAGAGGTAATGGCGTTCAAGGAGAGTCTGAGAATCCTGCATTGGAAGAAATAGAGACAACGGAACATAGACTGCTCTGATGGAGAGTTTTGCTTTGAACAAAAGTGTGCTTACTTGCTTATTGGCATTCAGGAGATGTTCACTGACAGGCTAAATGAAATGGATAAATGGGTGACAGGGTAACTCAAGGCAGGATGAGGATTAGGGTGCAGTAAGGTAGTATTAGAGCAGTACAGGCCTTGTTTAGGCCTCCTAAACCCTGTGAAGTCAGGTCAAAGGCTGAGAGTAGAGGAATCTGAACAGATGTCCCGCCACCTGCAATGGAATTAAGAATCTAAAATACATGTTGTTTAAAAAAATTTTTCTGTAAATTGAAAATGCTTTTAATACACACAGCATAGTACTGTATTAAAATGTAATTGATACGCACAGAGCTGAGTGTGTGTGGAATGGAGGCTCTTGGGACTGGCTGAGAGTTGCTCTTCTTTGCATCATGAGATATGATGTGTATCCTACAGTTCTTAACCAGCCAGAACAAAACACCATTTCTTCTAACTATTTATCACTCTCCTAGCACTTCAGAATAAAACAGTCCTAAGTAAAGCCGTGATAAACCAGGGACCTTCTGTCTAGGCGGTCACCCTACTTTTTATTGAAGAGACACGGCATGTTTTGTTACACTGACCTGTGGGGCTCCAAGTGGAGTGTTATTTTAGGAGGGCCAGTATATATAAATTGTGGTTCATGCCTGTGTCTAGATGTAACATGTGTCAGCTCTGTCCAAGATGTGGGATTTTATCAGGTTCTCCTCTGTTCTAAGGCTTGTACTAAGTATCCAGCACTCTTCCTGAAAGATATTTAGAGGTGCTGCTTATTTGTCTGGGATTTTAATGGAAGCCTTGGGGAAAACAGCCCCAGGTGCTAGACTGGGCTCTTTCTGATTGCCTTGGGAATGGCTGTTTACAAAAGTAACACCTGTGCACTGTCTGAAAACTACTGCTCTATGTGGCTGTGAAACTTAAGAGAAGCCAGTTGTCCTTTGCTTTATTCTCCTTTTGTGCTGGGAGAGATTTCCTGGCCTCACACATTCTAGGCAACTACACTATAGCTGAACTAGGTCCCCAGTCTCTTCTGTTTTCGAAAGGCAATTATTTTTTTTTAAAAAACTTGAAATGTGTGGTTGGGAAGCAAGAGCGCCATACCATCAGTCTGAGCAGGCTTGGGGAACACACTTAGGTCATGAGGCTTGACGGTGCAGGTGCTTTCCTGTATCCACCAAGTCTTGTCACCAGACTTGCTTTTAATCTCTTCCTTTTGGTATTTGCTTTCGTATTCCTTTACAAGAAGAGCAAGTGTTCTTAACTGTCTGTTCTTCTTTGCATACCCCTTGATCATCAGAGGCTTCTCCTGGTTTCTTCTCTCCTGTCCACTTTATACTCAAAGGATTCCTACTCTGTTCTGTGCTTGGAAGCTTTATTGAGGGGAGCAAAGGTGACATAAACAGACACTTTATTGGGGTTGGGGGTAAGGGTTGCCTGAATGCTAATCCTCGTTCTAACTGCAGCAGGTGTAGCTTGGTAGGGAGAGATTCAAACAGGGTCTCACTAGGTAGCTCTGGCTGTCCTGGGACTCTATGTAGACCAGGCTGACCTCAAACTCAGAGATGCTCCTGCCTCTGCCTCCTGAGTGCTGGGTGCTGGGATTAAAGTTGTATACACCCGTGCTAGGCAAAAGCAGGTGTGTTTTCAAACATCATTCCACACTTACCACACTACTTTTCTGGTGCATTCTAAGAAGTGAAATTCTGGGGTAAGGGTTTTTGATCATTTCATTTTGACAAATTTTGAACAGTGTTCTTTTTGATCACTTTAAGAAATTATGACTATAATTATGAATATAATGAGTATTTGGTTTTTTCATTTTGTCCACAGGTTTCAAAAACTTTCAACAAGCAAGTGACCCATGTGATCTTCAAAGATGGATATCAGAGCACCTGGGACAAAGCCCAAAAGACAGGGGCAAAGCTGGTATCTGTCCTCTGGGTTGAAAAGTAAGTAGTTGTCATGGAGAATGTGACAACACTGTTTTGTCAGCTCCTGTTGCTGCTAACAAAGTGCTGTAGACTTGCATTGTAGGAGCCCTGGAAGCTGAGGATCTCAGGTGTTTGAGGCATCCTTGGCCTGTATGTAGCCATCTTTCTGTGTTCTCACGGCATTCCCTCTGCTGATAACTACCAGGCTACACCAAAGCCTACTTTTGAAATTCTTTATGTGTTCTGGAGATACAAGTTTTATAATACATGTTATTTGCAAACCTTGATTTTCTCATTTTATGCATTTCTCTTCACTTTTTTAGTTTTATTTCTTTGACATAGCAACTTTTTGTGATTATTTTGTTGGTATTGGTGCTTGTGCTTTGAATGTCACCTTCAAGAAACCATTGCCTAATCCAGAGCAAAGGGTTCATATCTCTTTCCTTTTAAGGGTCTTAGTGATTTGTGTGCTACATTTAAGACTGCCATCTACTCTGAATGAGTGTTTGTGTGTGATAAGGGAAGGTTCTACTTTTGTTGTTTCGCATATGGGAAGGTAGGTGCCCCAACACCGCTATGGTTTTTGGAGCCGTTATTGAAAATTGGTTAATATTATGGGTTTAATCCAGACTCTAAATTACCCTTACCTTTAAAAATTTTTTATTACTATTTATGTATTTGTGTGTGAGTGTGTCTGTGCTTCCCAATATTAATTTGACTTTTATTTTTTGTCTCTTGTTTCATTGTGAATTTCACATCATGTACCCCAATCTCACTCAACTCCCTGTCCCCTCATATCTGCCCACCATCCTTGTAACCTCCCCCTGAAAAGAGGTAAAAAAATCTCATTGTGGAATCTGTGACAGTGTATCCCATAGTGTACCCTTTTGTCTACACTTTTTTTTTTTAAATAATAATGAAAAAGTGTATTTCTTTTAAAATGGAACTTTAGATGCAAATATTCTCATAGGGAAACCTGAGAAACCAAGTACTTCACACTAGAAATTCATCAGTATTTAAAAATCATTTGATAGTGTAAATACTACTAGGAAAAAAGTTTTCTCTTAATTTCGTCACAGCATTGATGAACACCTAGAGAGAAAATACCAAAGGCAACACAAAACAGACTATGACTGCAAAGACAAAAGCCCTTAAACATAGGAGCAAGCTGAATCTATCAATACACAGGGATCATATATAGTAACAGATTTACATCAGTAATGGAAGGTTTGCTTAATATTGTATGCCAACTCAATAACTAAGTTCACAGAGCATAAAAGAAAAGTTCTGTTTCAATAAATGCTTGTGATGCTATTTAGTATTTAAAACCAATTAAAGTAACTCTTAGAAAACTTGGAACATTGTAAAATTTCTCAGTTTGAAAAAGTGTATTTGCAAAAAATACCATATTAACAACATACAAAATGATAAAAGACCAAACAACTAAGCCTTACTGAAACCTCTTCTACATAAAAGTATAGTGAAAGTAGGAATCAATACAATACAGATCAAAACTAAATTAGATATCATTTTACATGTAAATGGCAAATTTAAGAAGTTTATACAATAATAATTTAGTTGGAAATTCATATATCTGTATTTTAGTCAATCTGATACTCATCCCACCCCTTCCAATTCCTCCCATCTCCTCATTACACTTTTTCTTCCCATAATTTCCTGTTCAGATACTCACAGGCACGATGAATCCATGTATGCAATGCTACATCATTTCCAGCAAATTATGTTTTACTGTAGCATTCTCACAATCTTTCTGTTCTTCCCTCAGGATCCTTGAGTGTTCAGCAAGGGTGTATGATATGTTCTATTTAAAGCTGAGACCTCCACACTCGTTAATTCTTTGCATCAGGACTAATTGAAGATCTTTTATAAATCATCATTTATTAGAGCAAAAAGACACATCATCAAAGATGTATCTTTGATGAGTGATGAAATATGCACTAATATAGAGGTATGGAGCTTAGGAAGCAGTTTAATACTATACCATTCAGCAGAATAACTTAGATGTTCCCCTGAGGACTATGACGTGTACAGTCTTGAATTCATGGCCAGTGATCAGGGTTGCAGATGAGTGTTCTCTTTATTTATTTAATTTTATATTAATTACAGTTTATTCACTTTGTATCCCAGCTGTAGCCCCCTCCGTCATTCCCTCCAAATCCCACCCTCCTTCCCGCCTCTCCTCCCATGCCACTGTCTAGAGGTCCTTCTCCCCTCCATCTGACCCTAGCCTATTAGGTCTCATCAGGACTGGCTTAATTGCTTGCAAATGTTCACTGTAATGACTCATTGGTCTGGTATGAAGTCTCTGGCTTCTGCTACTCTATCAGTACTGGGATCCTCTCAGATAATCCTGTTGTTGCCAAGTGTCATGGAGATCCTGTAGTTTTGTATCTGCAGGACTGGCCCCTTCATGCACTCTAGCAGTTCATCAATGGGGTAGATGTTGTGTTGGGTCAATTCAAAGCCCTGGATCTGGACTGAAAGGTATCTGTGCTAGTCAGCCCACCAGCTCTTCTGCTCTCACACCCTTGGGGCTGGCTCACCAGCAACCTCTGCAACCAGAGCCATCTCTACCCTGCTGCCCAGGCAAGGTGCAGGGCCCTAAGACATCAGTATGTCTCCGGGAGGTAGCCCAGACCAGGGGTATCTGCCTGGCCTTTGGTGGTAATAGATCCCTGCTGTTCCAGGGCCACAGACCCAGGTGTGGCCTCCAGTGGAAACAGGCCAGGACCCCAACGTGGTCACAGGTAGCATCACCGGCTACTCACATCAGGCTGTTCCTCATTACCCTCGAGTTTCCAGTTCTTCTCTTCATTGTGACACCATCTTCGTGTTTCTCTTTTTCTTCCATTTCTCCACTACTTACTTGTTCCTCTTACTGGTGCCTAGGTTCTATATGTGTCTAGGCTCATCACAAGAGTGGTCTCAGGAGTGCTATGTCTTACATTGTGGCACTAGTCTGCCCATAATGGTCTGCCCACTTGGCCTAGTTGGCAAACAGGTGGTTATCTCAGGGTAGCTCCCTGTCCTGGCCCCATGGCACTTGTCTGTTGGTTGTTCTGGTGGTCATCTTGGACTTGCTTCTCTCCCGGCCCTCCCCAATGGCCCTTTGGGGTTGTCTGTCTCAGGCTCATTGTTGCCCAGGGCCTGTGGTCCCAGGTGGGGTTTCTCTAGTCTCTGGCTTGCACCCTGTCCTGGGAGCCCATCCAGGCCTGCCTGGCCCCAGACTGGTGGCTGTCTCAGGCTCCAGGGAATGTCAGGCTACTAATCACTCAGATGTTCATTGGTCAGAACCCTGAGCACAGACACAGCCTCTCTCCTCTCTGCCACCTATTGACGCACATGTGACACAGTAGCCACACCTGCAGTGCCTCTAGGGACAGGAATTTGCCTATTTTCTGTTTTGTTTTTCTCTGTTTTTATCTATCTATCTATCTATCTATCTATCTATCTATCTATCTATTTATTTATTTTTGAGGCAGGGTTTCTCTGTGTAGGCTTGGCTGTCCTGGACTCACTTTGTAGACCTGGCTGTCCTCAAATTCACAGAAATCTGCCTGCCTCTTCCTCCCTGAGTTCTAGAATTACAGACATGCACCACTGCACCCGGCTAGAATTTGCCTCTTTTAATTGGCATATTGAGTTCAGGTTGCCAGACTTGGCTTGGGACACAGGTTATGACCCCCAAATCAGGATTAAAGACACACTTTATACAATACTAGGGATCAATCCAGGACTCTCTGCATACTAGGTGAATACTCTGCCAACCTAGCCATTACCTCTGCCATAGAAAGTGTCACTTTATATTAAAACAGTGTGACAAGGGCTGGAGCTATGGCTCAGTGTTAAGGACACAAGTTGTTCTTTCAGAGGACCCAGGTTCAGTTTCCAGCACCCACATGGTAGCCCCAAATCATCCATAGCTCCAGTTTCAGGGAGTCCAATGGCCTCTCATTACCTCTGTGAGAATGCACACACACGGTGAACCTACATATCCATGTTTGTAAAAGGTGGAACCAGTTTCCATGTACAAACATCTTAAGCTTGTTCTAGGATATATTTAACTAAATGTCTGTATGTATTGTTAAAGAGTAAAATCTAGTTATGTGTGGACATAAACAGGAATGCATAAAGGTACTTCCAGTTTTGTAAGTGGAATAAAAGATGAAGGAAAAATGTGGACCTTTGAGATGGGTCAGCTTGTAAGGACAGTGGGCACCAAGCCTGATGACCCGACCTTCATTCCCAGAACCCATGTGGTGGTAGGAGAGCACAGACCCCTGCTAGTTGTCCTCTGATTTGCATATGTGCATTAACCCTCCCCCCCATTAATAAAATTGGAAAAAAGATAAAGGTAATTGAAAGTCTGGATATAAGCACACAATATTAGCTAATTTCCAACAATGGCTCTAGAAACCATCTTTTCAATGGGATTAAGATGCCTTTGGGGTATCTGCCTTTCACAGTGAGCTGACTCCAGGCGGAGGACAAAGGTGAATGTTCCCCACTGCTGCTGTAGTCATTTTATTACAAGGACATTTCCCTTTTCCACTTTAGCTGGCCAGTACCTTTTTTGTTTTTGTTTGTTTGTTTGTTTTTAGGGGTTTTATTGTTGGTTTTTGACACAGGGTTTCTTTGTGTGGCCCTGTGTGGCCTGGCACTAGCATTGTAGACCAGGCTGGCCTTGAACTCACAGAGAACTGGAATTAAAGGTATGCTGTGTGGCCTAACTGCTTTTTACCTCTACTTAGTGCAGCAGAAAATATTTAGACATTGAGTAAATCTATTTTCTGCTTTTTTTTCCCCCCTCCTGCAGGCCAGAAGAGAACACCAGATATCATTACAGATGGTTGTGACCATGTGGGTGCTGGGAATTGAACTCAGTGCCTCTTGAAGAGCAGCCAGTGCTCTTAACGTTTGAGCCATCTCTCCAGCCCCTGTTTTCTGCTTTTCTGTTTGTCTCTTTTAATTGATCTATCAGTTTGGGTGGCAGACCTGACTTGCGGCACAGGTTGTGATCCCCAAGTTTGATAATAATCCCAGCCTTCCCAACTGGATGTGTGAGGCAAGGGGAAAAAAAAGCCTTATGTAATAGAGGGGCAGGAAATAGTATAACTGGTCTGATGTGACATTTTTATTTGATGTCCTTTTTCCAATCAGAATCAGTGTGACATCAAACCTTTGTATATATTACTGTTCTGTACATTTTTATTTAAATGCCAGAAATGGAGTTTTTAGCTCAAAAGGGCTAGCCCATTTTATTTTGTGGTATATGCTGCCAAATTTTCCTAGAAAGAATGCCTTAATTTCTACCCTTTCAAGTAATATAAAAAGATACATCTTCATTTGTAAGTTAAAAGTATTGTTTTTATTCCCATTTTCTTCCTAATTTTAAGAGGCTGAGCTGACCTCTGTTATGCTGACCACCAGTCTGGCTTCTCTTTTAGCTGCCCAGAGTCACAAGCTTTTCACTGACAGTGATCATGTGTGTGTGGGCTCTAGCTCTGTTGGACACAGCGCCTCAGATTGCAACAGTCTCCGGTGAAAATGCCTTTCCCTTTAGACAACAGAAACTGTTATATCCGAGGAAACAAATGATGAAGACAGAATAATTAAAGATCAACCTGGCTCTCGTCTGTTGGTTGAGTTTTCTGAAGAAGTTGATCAAGAGTTAAAAATTTAAATCCCTCACTAACAGAAAAAGCATTGAAATGCCTCAGTCAGCTGTGATCAGCCTGTTAAAGGAGCTCTAAGACTGTTGCAGGGCCAGGGCCTCAGCCTGGGGAGGGTTAGGGTCCTTGGGGGTCAGTGTGGCTGGCAAGCAGGTGGTGGTGCAAGGAAGGGGAGTTGTGAAAAACCCGCAGTGGCCACTCATCTCTCTGGAGCAGTGTGTGGTAGCTGTGCTCAGCAGTGCAGGCCCATGAGAGTCCTCTGGCTGCCCTTCGCAAAGTCTCCACATGCTTCTAATGAGTGCATCCTCTGGTTCAGGCTCATTGTCCTCTTGGAAGAGGAGGCTGAACTGTAGGATGCATTGGACTTACAGAAGTTATAAAGCAACTTGACATCTAATGCAGCGTGGGAAAGATGGTGCTGGCGAACTTCAGGTGGCTTAGCAGCACACTATGCTATTTTCCCAAGTGCCCTTCCTTTTCGTAATTACACAATTGCAATGGCTTTTTTTGTTTGTTTGTTTGTTTTTGTTTTTTGGCACCTAGTTCAGTAACGTCCAACAGTATATTATATCCTGTGTCCTGCAACACTTGAGGCTCTGGAGCCAGCCTGGGCAAAGATGGAAGCCAGTGTGCAGCTGCTCTGCTCTGTACTGCCCCTCACTGGGTACAACCTGGGTTCAGTGCCCAGAGCTCAGGCCCCAGTTCAGATCCACTTGTGTTTTCTCTGCTTAGAGACCCTCAAACCCTCCTTCCTGTGTTCTTCCCAGGGGGATTCCTTTTCAGCCAGCTCAATTTTCAGACACGGCTGCCCTTCCCTGTTCAACCCCTCAGTACCTAATGCGGTATGTCTACATTGAAGAATTGTGCACTGCTGCTTAGGCAGCTCATTGACTGGTGTGGGGGTGAAAGTCAGCAGTTTGGCGGAAGTGAAGGAATAGCATGGCTGGCCCAGGTGAGGAAGTGGGAAGTGACGGGTCCCTCATGAAGAAACTTTCCTAGTGGGAAGGAAGCGGCTGTGGCCTCCCCCAGCTCTGAAATAGCTATAGATGGTTAGCTCTCAGTGCTGTCTTGAAACATTCTTCTTGGCCACTAGATGGAGTACTAACGTTACCAATTTGCATTTCTGAAATGCAAACTAATAGAAATCTAATAGGAAGCATTTTCTGTTAATTATGTTGATGGAGTGCTAGATAAATGTGAGGACTTTTGTTATTGCTAGAGTTTGTTTAATTAGTTTTAATTTTGTCTCTGTGTATACATGCTCATGAGTTATCCAGGGAGACCTGAGGCATCAGATCTCCTTGGAATTGGAGTTAGAGCTGGTTGTGACCTGCCTGACATGTAGTCTGGGAATCAGACTATAGTCCTCTGAAAAAACATTACATTCCCTTAACTGCTGATCCATCTCCGAGACAAGGTCTCAGTTTGTAGCCTGAGCTGGCTAGAAACTCACTAGAATAGATCAGGCTGTCCTTGAACGCACAAAAATACACCTACCTCTGCCTCCCATGTGCTGAGATTAAAAATGTGTTTAACCATGCCTAGTTTAGTGCAAGTTTTTACCTTAACACAAATGTGACATGCAAGTCCTATGCCTAGATTTATGTTACACATTGTGTTTCATTTCAAGTGGGAACTAACTGAATTCTGAACCTGAGCTTTTACACCCTGTCACTCTGATTGATTGGTGAATTATTGAGATGCTTTATTGTAACGTTGGACAAAATGTGTCTTCTACAACTATATCACCTTGGTCAGTCACACAGTTTGTTGGTAGGAATCAAGGCTTTCCCCAAACCACCAGCTATAAACAATGTTTAGTAATTTTATAAACCTGGGCAACTAGTCTGTGAGCTAAACAACTTTTGTAAACCTGAAGGATCTCCAGGTCACTTGCTCTTCTGTTCAGATGAGTCCCAGCTGTCTCCCTCCTTGTGGTCTTCAGCAGAGCAAGCTGGTAAAACTACTCTTAAACTCATAACGGAATAGAAAAGAGACACATAAGAGACATTTCCCTCATGCTCATCTTTCACTGTTCTTGCTGGCTTTTCTTGTTTGTTTCAGTTTTTTTTTCCCTTTCATCTCCCACCTTCTCTCATTTCACCATGCAGCTGTAGCTCAGGCTGACCTTCAGGTTGAGCAGTCTTTTGCCTCCCCAGCGTTGAGGTCAGTACACCCAGCTCTTCTGTTAAGACTATTCTGAAGCTATGGGCTTCTGTAGGCTTAAATGATGGGTTTGTTTCTTAAAACCAGGTTTGTAAAAGTATAGCTGAAACTAAGAGTGGTGGCTCATGTCTGTAACACTAGCATATGGGAGGCTGAGACAGGAGGGTCACTGAGAATTCACGGCCAGATTAGCCTTTATAACTAGTTCCAAACAGCCTGGGGTACATTGTGAGACCTGTCTCAAAATATATCCATTTGAGTTCACAGATCAATGTGTTTGTCATAGCCACCAAATTCAAAATATAGGGGACTTATAACCCCCGAATAGTGCCTGCCCTTTGCAGTTAGCCTCCTTCTGCCTCTCCCTCACCCCAGAGCGGCCTCCTATCTAGATTCTGAAGCCAGAAGCCAGTTTCTTTGCTGTGGATTTCAGATAGATAGACTCTGCTAGAATGTACTGCTTGGTTTCCTTCACTCAGTGTGATGTTTTAGAGATTTCTCCATGTTTTATGCAGCAATAGTTTCCTTTCATTTGTTTAGCCAAGTAGTATCTATTGCATGTACATACCACGGTGCTTTGCCAGTGATGGAAATTTGAACAGTTTTCCATTTTTGGTTACTATGAATGAAGTTGTTATGGAGATTTGTGTTTGTGCCTTTCTGTGTTTTCATTTCTCGTGGTTTATTACCCAAACAAGGTGGCGGCATGGTTTTATGTTCCTACAGCAGTGTGAGCGTTCTTTTGTTCCATGCCTTCACCCACACTTGGGATTTGTCTATCATTTGAATTTAGTTGTTTAGAGTGGATATATAGCAGTCTCTCAGGTTCTAATTTACATACCATACAATTTTCTCAGTTAAAGTATACAGTTCGCTGCTTTTAAACATACTCAAAGAGCTGTGCAGCCATCTCCACAATTTTAAAGTACATGTACCTTGAACTGCAGCCTGTACCCTTTAGCTATCACTCCCCATGCGTAAAGCCTCAGCAACTGCTAATGTACTTTCTGCCTTTGTATTTTCCAGTTCTGGGCATTTTGTATAAGTGCTTCTTGCAAGTTCCATCACGTTTTTATTTTCTTCCTTTTTCTGATCAAATAATGATTGTATGGATGAATACATGCACATACACATATGCACAAACAAGGAAAAGCCTCAAGCAGAATTTCGGGTGTAGCTTAGGTGCTTTTCCTTTGCTGTGACAAAAATACCCTGACAAAAGCAATTTAAAGAGAAAAGGTTTGCTGAACTCACAATTCCAGGTTGTGGTCCATCGGAGCAGTCAGGTCATAGCAGTGGAGGGATGAGTGAATTGGTTCTATTATGTCCCAAGAGCAGAGAGCCATGACACATACATGCTAGTGCTCAGCGCCTCCCCATTTTCTGAGTCCAAGATCCATAACTAAGCTGTAGTCAAGATAATTCGTCAAGGACATTCTCAGGGGTTAGCCTTAACCTAAATAATTTCCAGAGCTGTGCCTGGAGGCCCTTTGTGGACATTAACTAGTGTTTGTTTTAAGATTTGTTTATTTTTATTTATGTGTGAATGCCTGCTTGTATGTATGTCTAGCACATGCATGCAGTGACCATAGAGGCCAAAGAAGGCATCAGATCCCTTCAACTATAGTTGCAGATGGTTTGATGGTTTGAGTCAGCATGCCCAGTTCCTCTGCAAGAACAGTAATGAGCCATTTCTTCAGCCACAGGAAATGTGTTTTTAACCAGTCTCCCTCAGGGTGTCCTGCTCCCACAAACACTTATGCATTCCTTGCACACAAATGTACTTTTTCTTTTACGCCAGTGTACATGATGAATTTTGTTAAGCCACTGGCCTTGCTTCCAGTCCTAATAGGAAGTAGGTAGTTGGCTCAGTTCTTGTCATGGTGTAGCTCTTCCCTTCCCTGAGCGCTGCCTGCCATCCCTGTGTTTTTCCAGTTGTCTCACATTTGTCTCACGTGGACCTCGGGCCTCCATCCTGGTGGTAGGGGAGTGTGCGTTTCTAACCCATGTCCAGACCTGTTCCCCTACTTGTCTGTCCTGCCCCTGACTTTGTAGGCTAGAGAGAAACTGGAGTCCTTGACTTCTGCAGCTATGCTGGGCTGGGGCTTTCCTTTTTTGTTTGTTTGTTTGTTTACCTTCCTCAGGCAGTTCTTATCTGCTCCTTGTTTTTTGTTGGTCTGTGTCCTTTTTGTTTTCTTTCTGTTGTTTTACCCAAAGGTCAAAAACAAAGTAGCTCAGCTATGTCCCCAGCCCTCTTGTGCCTGCACGGTTCCTGTGAACCTTCAGTGGCTCCTACCCTAGTACTACAGTGCCCTTGGTTACTCTCTCATCCTTGGAAATTATTCTTTCAGTGGCCTGTCTTGTGATACCCCCTCCCCACCCATCTCTTCTTAGAGCCCACAAGCATAGGAGGCTGGCTTTTGAGCATGGCATAAAGTCCTCATGGGACCAGAAATCTTTGTGGGATGGTTTATCCTAACTATGATTATCTGCCTCATCTTTCTCAGTGCAGTGGTGGTGTATAGGAAAGTTACTGACTTGTTTTAAATGTTGATTTTGTATCTGCTACTTTGCTGGCAGTGTTTATCAGCAGTTTCATGGTGGATGGAAGCTTTCTGGCCCCTTGGGTATAGGATCATACCTTTTACAAATAAGAACACTGAATTCTTCCTCTCCTATTTGTGTCCTTTGTATTTACTTCTCTTGGTAAAATTTCAAGACTTCTTTTGAGACAAGTTCTCATCATGTAACTCTGGCTGACCATGATCTCACTGAGAGCTGGGATTAACAAACAGTGTGAGACAGCGGCATATCTGGCTTTATTGTTTGTATCCTTTCACTTGCAGTATTTGCATGCTCAAGTGGGAGTGGCTTGTAATAAGATGGAGGTGTCATTCCTTCCTAATGGATTGGGGGATTTGGATCATGAACTACCTATAGATAGGTAGAAACAGCCACAAGTTCTGGAGAGGCTCACCACACACATTGTAATACTTAGTCATTTCTCTAACTGCAGTTATTCAGGAATAGTAAAGCTGGGATAGTATGGTAGATATAAAGACACTAGTTACTAAGGTCAGGAATGGAAAGGGAAATAGACTGAGGAGTAAGGATAGGGATGAGAATTAGATTAAATGAGGGAAGATAATGAGTGAAAAGTAGATGGAAAGGAGAAACCTGGTTACTGCTAGGTTCTACAGTAGAGAGATTAGTACAGCTACAGGTTAAAGTTAGGTAGAAAGTGGAGGGGATAGAGAAGAGAGAAGAAACGCGATAGGAATAAGAAGAGCGACCAGGCTATATGTAGAACCATTACAATCAAGTAATACCAAAATCCATACAAGACCATTAAGACAAATTATGCAGGCTGGAGAGGTTAAGACCACTGACTTTTCGTATGGAGGAACTAGGTTCAATTTCCAGTATCCACAAGGCAGCTCACAATTGTCTCTGTATCTATGGATACAAGGCAAACAAATGGTGCACAGATAAACATGCAGACAAATGTTTATACCCATAAAATAAAATAAAAGTAAGTGTAAAAAGATATTTATGCAAGAATGAAAATTGAAAAAGACAAAGAGAAAGTCATGTTAAAATTATCATCGTATCTGTCAATATTTCTACCTTGGTGGGTAGAGCTCCTTTCCCCATGTGGTGTTTCATGTAGCAGACTACTGAAGAAAGACAATGTGCAGCTTGTTATGATTCAAGCTTTTCAACCAGATATGTGGGTATCCAGTGCCCAGAGAGTTCAAAAGAGTACCTTTGGGATTGAGTTTCTGCACTTCTGCCAGGAGATGTCACACCTTCCTGTGTCTTCCCAAACTCTGGTAGGAATGTTTCTGTTGGGAAATTTCCATGTCATTGTTCCACATGTGCTGGCTGGCTGGTGACACTGCCCCTCTGGTTTAGTCCAGGTTATGTGCAAGGTACTAGGGTGACCATACCTATGCCATTGTTTGCCGTGTTGGCTGATTTGTTCTTAATACCTGGGTTCTGGCTACCTCTGTTCCTCTCTGCTTCCATGGTCTCCTAGTTTTAGAGCAAGCCAGTGGTTTCTTGGTTCTGAACTGGGCAGAAAATTTTCAGTGTTCTTGGTCACCTGTGGGGTTTGGATGGTACTTCCTTCTTGGTATTGCTTCCAGGGTACCCATGAATAATGTCACCTTCAGGCTTGCTCTGGTGTGTGACATACCAGCCACTGTCTCCACAGCTTTTTGATCCTGAGTCCATCAGCCTGGATATATATCTAACTCCTGGTTGTGTCTCAGCAGAGTGCCCTATCTCTCTAGCTCGATGGTTTCTGCATCAACATTGTAGGGAGTAAAGGGAGGGGGTGCTGATTTTGTTTTGGCAGGGCTTGGGATTGAACCCAGTGTGTCACACTTGCTATACAAACACCCTAACATTCTGTCAATCACTTGGGGCATTCTTGAAAATCATCTCCCCAAGTGCTTGGATTATAGGCATGTACTAATATGACTGACTCTCTTCTGCTTTTGCACTGGAAAGAGAAGACCATGTAAAGAAGACTTTGGAAAATCGAATATTTATTGACTTGTATTTTGCATTATATGTATGTATATGTGTATATATATTATTGCAAAAACATTAACTTTGAGCCTTCTGCCTGACACATAATGCAGTTTTCATGTTGTGTGTATATAGTAAAGACAGTTACTCACTGGATTGCCTTGACTTCGTTCTACAGATGCAGAATGGCTGGAGCTCATGTCGATGAATCTTTGTTCCCTGCAGTGAATACTAATGAAAACCTACCGAGCCTAGTTAGAAGAAAAGTAAGTATGCTATTTTAGTGTAGATGGGATATTATGAATTTTTGCTCCCTTGAGTATCGTAAGGATGCTTTTGAGCTTATTGCTCTTCTCACATAAAATCTCCAGTCAACTGTAGAGTTCTTAGCTAGCTTATGAATACTTTGATGTAATCTATAGGAAATGGAGGAGATTGTAGTTAGCCTTGGGAAATTAAAACTTGCCCAAGACTAGGTAGGTACCCTTCAGGTGCTTTGGATTTCTTTTTTGTTAATTTTTTTATTTCGTGTGTTGTATGTTTTGCCTATGTGTGTGTCTGTGCACCACATGCAATCCTAGTACTCATGGAATCAGAAGAGGGCAGTTAATCCCTGGAGCTAGATTTGCAGGTGGTTGTGGGCTGCCAAGTAGGTGCTAAGGATTAAACCCAGGTCTTTCTCAAGAGCAGTCTGTGCTTTCAACTGTTGAGCCATCTCTCCAGCTGGCTGCTGCTTCTTTAAGTATAGTTCACTGTGAAAAATCAAAGCTCCTTGTTCTCACATAAGAACCACTGTTAGAGTTGATGACCTAATTAAGGTGGACTCAGAGAACTGTATACTTTGTACAGAGTAAAAGAAGTAGCTGTGCGCTACTAGTTCATAATATATATCCTCCATGCTTACCACAGTAAGCCTGGTGCCAGGTAGTGAGAACAAAGTTCCCCCAAGACTTCTCCACACCTCCCCATCTGATGCTAGGAAGTTCTTGTTCTGTGATACGCTAAAGTAAAGGGCTTAGAAAAACATCGATGGGATGTGCCGTTTTCATTTACCAAACTTAGTAAACTCAGGCACATCAGGCGTCTCTGATGTTTCTTCCCTCTGTCACTTCAGCTTGAATAGTGACCTGTGTAAGAGGCTTCAGAGCTTACTATGTGCTAGTACATGTACCTGCTGTGCCGAGTGTGGCTCTGCCGAGCTAGGTGCTGAGTTTGCTAGGATGCCTTTTCTTCCCCGCTTAATAGTATAGTTTTGATCATGTTAATTTTATCTCATGTTGCACATTGTGTGAAGGCCTTTCCTGTATGTATGTATCGCAGATATGAAGCGTATTACATAGGAGATGTGCATTTAATTCTTGTGCCCACAAACACAAGTGCAATTGTTGGCTCATTGTGCCAGTGATTAGATTTGGTGCTTTCATCAATGGTGTGCAAGTGCACCTCTTTCTTGCCCAAAGCTGCTGTATTATCTTTAAACTTTGCCTAGCCTGATGATAGTCACTATCAGTACACTTACCACTTCTTTTTTTTAAGATTTATTTATTTATTTAATATGTATACAATATTCTGCCTGCATGTGTGCCAGTGCACCAGAGGAGGGCACCAGATCTCACTATAGACGCTTGTGAGCCACCATGTGGTTGCTGGGAATTGAACTCAGGACCTCTGGAAGAGCAGACAGTGCTCTTAACCTTTGGGCCATCACTCTAGCCCCACTTAGCACTTCTAAAAGCCTTCCTTTTTATCCTTTTTCCAAATGCATTTGCAAGTTAGACATGACTTGAGAAACATTGCTTTATGCGCTTGGAGGGCAGTTTTTGTGTTCTCCCTCTCCCTCTGCCCCAGCCTGCCCATGGCTTGCTGCTCAGGAAACAGTTTAAACACACTCATTATCTGTTCCCTCTGTCTGGATCGTGCTCCCCTCAAGTGCATTCAGCAGGCTCGGGTTCCAGCTTTTCTGCGGCTCTGTGTAGATGTCTCATTACCCACCAGCACTTGCTAGTGTCCGTTGCAGAAGTAGGTCCTTCTGCTTTTGGCTATTGCCCTGGTTCTGTCAGTCTCACTTGGTGACCTGAGTTCCAAGGTGCTGTCTGGATTTGGAAGCATTGCTATTTTGAGATTTTGTGAGTCTGTTTTTTTTTTTTTTTTTTTTTTTTTTAAATGCACTGAACCCCAGTATTCAGGTCACAGAGTGGAACCTTTTTCCCATGCTCTTCCCTCCTTCATGGGAAGAGGACTCCAGGCAAACTGCTAATCCTCCTAACAGAACAGTGTGGACACGCTGCACAGACTGTCCTGCTGTCTAAAGGCAGCACTGTTAGTGTTTACACTGTGAGCCTGCTGAACTGACTTCCCAGCATGTGCTGGTAGAACCTAGTCATTTGCTAAGGCTGTTCCCTGTCACTCCTCACTCTTGTGCCAGCTCTCACAGGCTGAGGACCAGTGCCTGACACAAAGGACTGTGCCTGACAATGACCAAGTGCCTAAGTGACCCAGCAAGTCAAGAACAAAAGTGGGACATGCAGCTGCAAGGGCCAGAAGCAGAACGCTTTCAAGATTAGCAGCAGCAGTGAAGATAATGAAACGATGATTCATTTCTTTAGTAACTGGAATAATTGCTTTGGTGTTACTGTGTGATTGGAGTGAAGATGATCTGAGAATAGCTGAGTGCCAAGGCTACTTCTGGGACCCTTCTTGGCTGCTGAATGCTGGAAAAATAGCTCAGAAAATGATTATTTTACAGTATACACCCTTTTACTTAGTCACATAAATTCTGTAAACTCTATAAAAGTAATGTCTCAAATAAATATTGCCAACTCACAACAGTATAATAAACAACTTATTAGAAAATTCTTTTAATTTTGATATCATTAAAGTTACCAAAATTGTATAGGAAGGGCTTTTCTCCCATTTTAAAAACAATCAGTAGTCATAGGGACTGGAGAAATGTTTCAGCAGTCAAGATCGCTTGTAGAGAACCTTGCTGAGTTCTCTTCCCAGGTCCTACATGGTGCCTCTCAACCATCCCTAGCTCTAGTTCCAGGAGCTCTGACACCCTCTTTTGTCCTCTTTGGGCATCAGACATGCATGTGGTATACATGCATAAATGCAGGTTAATATTTATCCACATAAGAACAAGTAAATCTTTTAAAATAAGCAAAGAACACCGTACACCACCATTAAAGTTTATGTTCTTTTTTCTCTAGCACAAGTGTATGCAGCCCAAGGACTTTATTCCAAAAACACCAGAAAATGACAAAAGACTTCAAAAGAAATTTGAGAAAATGGCTGAAGAGCTACAAAAGCAAAAAACAGCTCTAGGTAAGCCAAGTCCCACTTGCCTGACAGCTACAGGTATAGAGGCTGCAGCGGCTTGCAGGGAGGCAGGAGGGCACAGCATGTGGTCTGCTCACTTAGACTGAGTTAACTGACAGAGCCACTGGGAAAGGCCCTCAGATGATCCACATAATTCATTAAGTCAGTAGAATTGTTATCTGGGGCAGGAGTACAGGAGGAAAGCAATCTCAGTTCTTTAATTTTTGTCTTACCTAATGTCTGATCTTTTTGTTTCATTATCCAGGCCATACAAATTGCAGACAATATTTGCTTTTAATGCTATAGGCAAAAACCTTGGGCTCACTTCCTGTGGTTAAATTCATGTGTGGGTTGGGGTGGAAGATGAGCAGTGTTTAGTAGGACTACTCTCTGAAACCTAGATATGAAGCAAGTTTTAGGAGCAAATGCACACTCTGCCTTTCTGGCTTCTTGCTAGTTGTGTCACTTCCCTGTGACTCAATGGCTACCTCTGTAAATGAGGATGCCTACACCTATTATGTGTAGAGCCTGGGTACAGTTTTAATAATCCATACCACTTGCTGAGAGAGCTCAGCAAGGCTCAGCTGGCAGCTAGCTGTACTGGCAGTGCCGTAGTTCATGGTGGGAGTAATACCATCTCAGAAAGAGAGAATGGCACTGAAAGGGAGCAGGAATGCATTGGGGTGGAGGTGGTGTTAAAGGAATTGAGCTGGTAAGGTGTGAAAGTTGAACTTTTTTTTCAGATGACGGTATTCCTATCCTCCTGTTTGAGTCTCCTCGCTCACCTGCATGCAGTTCCACAGTTCCCATTAGGAGTCACGAGAGCACGATGAAGAAGAGACTGAAAGAGATGAAGGAGAAGAGGGAAAATCTTTCCCCTACCTGTAAGTGATGACTTTATAAAACGAGAAATATTGTTTTTGATCTCTGCCTAGATGGTTGTTTTCCTTTTTGCTTAAGGTCAGTGTCTTTGCCTAGATATTTTTAGTGCTTCCTGATTTCAGTACTTAACTTCAGTGGAGACCGTTCTAGTATTATCTTCCAGAAGAAATGTGCTGGGTTAAGACTGGGACCCATGTGGAAGAGATGAGTGTTTTTATTCCCTTCTTTCAATTCCTTCATCATTTCCAGTATCTTAATATTTCTTTTCTCATTGAAAAGGAGCTGGAGAAATGGCTCAGAAATTAAGAGCGCTTGCTACATTTACAGAGGACTGAAGTTCGGTTCCCTGTACCCACATTGGGTAACTCATAACTGTTTACAACTCCAGCTCCAGGGGAACCAATGACCTCTTCTGGCCTCTGTGGGAACCTGCATACATGTACAATACACACACACACACACACACACATAAATAATAATAAAAAAATCTTTACAGAAATAAAATTTAAAAATTAAGCTAATCAGGTCTCTTTTAAAAGAAGGGCACTTAATTATCAATTTGTGCTTTACTTTGTTTTTGTTTTTTAACTTTAGTAAGTGTATTACTTAAGTAATAAGCACATTTTAATAAAATAATTAACAATGTAGCTAAAAAAAATCTTGGCTTCTACCTACTTACATGCAAGCCTTTCCCAGGTAGTTTTCAGAGGACCACTGATGTATGTGCAGTTGGAATGGTACAGGTGTGTTTCTGTGTAGGGTTGTAGTTTATTTTTACTTAATTTGGATCATATAGTACACTTTTTGTTTGTTTGTTTCTCTTTAATTGTTGTTTTTGAGACAGGTTTCTCTGTTGTAGCCCTAGCTGTATGGCCTTGAACTCAGAGATCCAGCTGCTTCTGCCTCCCAAGTGCTGGGATTAAATGCATTTGCCACCATGCCTGGCACATCATACACATTTTTATTAACCCCTTTCTTTCACTTGCTACTGTTCCAACTATATTAGACTCATGTGCATCTTGGGCCCGTAAGACAAGCTCTGTATCAGCCAAGGTAACAAATAAGACTTAGACTGAACTGTAGCCTTTACTAGACACCATCAGACTTTTGTTCAGAGCAAGCAAAGGATGGAGGTTAAAGCAGACACATAGCTCTGTCCCACATGGACGTCCAGATTGATTAACGTGTGTAAATCTGAGTCCAAGATTTGAAAGCCAGGTGTGATGGTGCATGCCCATAATCCTAATGCTCAAAAGGTGGAGGCAGAGGACCACAAGAGCATCTGTGAGAGCAGCCTGAGTTCATTTAGAAAAATGAGCCTGTCCCTCTCAAAAATCAAAACACAAATGCTCCCTCCCCCCCAAAAAAAAAACTGTTACAAAACTAAAATGTGAAAATAAAAATCTCACCAGGTAAAAGGGCTGAGGCTGTGTAGTTCAGTTCTTGCCTAGTGTGCACAAAGCCAGACTCAATTCCCAGCGTCAAAACAAACACGCAGCCTCAGTATATGAGGGCTTCTTCCCACCCACACCTCTGTCTAAATGTCTTTGTTTTCTTTAATAAGTTTTCCTGGGGAAACATCCTGAGTCTGTTTTAAAAAAATGACTTTAGAAGCTGGTTCAGTACGTCCCAGAAACCTGTGTTGGGAGGCTCACAGCTACTTGTGACTATAGCTCAAAGGGATTCCACTGCCTCTGCTGTTCCTGCACACACACAAACACACACACACAACACATGAACACATAATTAAAAATAAATTAAAAACATATCTTTAGGTATTTTTGTTTTATTTTTGTCAACTGACGGACACCCTTTGAAGATAGCACCTAGAGCCTCATTTATTAAATCATTGATGTTCTAAATATTTTCTGTGAAACTTTTCTCACCTGCAACACTGTTAACTTTTGGGGGACAGTTTCTTGTTGTGTACACTCTAAAACAGTAATATCCCTCCTCCACCTTGTGCTAGATATCGCCATGTCTACAACTGTATTGGAGTCCTACTTGGAAGTAATATTAGGAACTTCCATGGTTATCAAACAAACTGAATACATTCATTTAATTTGGGTTAAGCTTCAGACAAGTTGAATTTTCAAACTTCCATCTGAAATATGATTCTGGGAATTAGTGTTTTCGGGGCAATGATTGATTCATTTTTCTCATTCTTATATCTACAGTATACTTTATGTAATTTATATACCTGTATTATATTAACCTTAGAATATAGTTAAGAGTAATAGTTAAGAGTAATTGAATGTGTATATGGGATCAGGAGCAGAATGTGTAGGCATGCTGTGGTCCCTGTCCAGTAGGAAGTTCTGCTGTCGAATTTCAGTTGCATGTCATTGTTTTACCAGCATCCCAGATACTCGAACAGTCTCAACAGAATCCAAATATCACTCTGTGTGAAGCATCTTTGAATGTTTCTCATCAATCTTTCAGTTCAGGTAAAATTGGTTTTGTTTGTTTTTTGTGACAGTTATGATTTGAAAAGTGTGCATGTGCGCGTGCGTGCGTGCGTGCGTGTGTGTGTGTGTGTGTGTGTGTGTGTGTGTGTGTATGTGTGTAGAGCCCTGGCTACCATGAGACTTATCATAGAGACAGACCCAGCTGGGGTGTGTATATATGTCTGTTTGTCTGTCCACTCACACTTGCACTGTTTCAGATAGACTTGTACTGTAGAGCCCTGGCTGCCATACTTAGCATAGAGAACTTAGCATAGAGAAAAACTGGCTTCCAACTCAGAGCAGTCCTCATGTCTCCTTCTCTTTGAGTGCTGAGATTACAGATCACCACACCCAGCTTTCATGTTTATTTCTAAACCCTCAAGTACTAAGTGAAACTATAACTCATGTTTCTTCTTGAGACTTGGTATTATGGTGGAATTGATACATGGAAAGCCAGGATCTCCTGCTTGAAGTCTGTAGGCCCCTTCCTGGGGATTTGCAGGGGCGGGAGTTTGCTGTGGAATAAGTTGCTCGTTTCTGGAAATCCTTGTGACTATGTATGAACTGATAAAATGCAGTGTAAACCTCAAGTTAGCACTAAAGAGGAATCATTTCATGTTTAACCCATGAAGTATATTACTGAAGAGAGTCTGTGTGGGAACCCTTGACCTTTCTTCCATGTGTCTAGCTCCTTATACTTTTCTCATGAAGTCTGAGGAACCCTAGAGAACTGTGTTCAAAGGTGCTTCAGATGCAACAAGAGGAAACCGAGCTGAGGTGTCATCCTATCAGTGTATGCTGTATTCTGGCAGTTTCTTCTGCATGTTTTGAGATTATTTACCCACTTATCTTCTCATTTTCTGCTCAGACTTGTCTCTCATGGTTTGGAAACAATGGTGCTAGCAATACTGACTTCATTTTCCCTGCACTGTTCTGGGTCTCACTGTATCAACACACACCCCCCAGGTCTCAGTGAAGTTGGTTGTATCCCTAGTGCCATTTTACCAGAGAGAAGACCAGGACATAGGAAGCCAAGTGGGTTATGCAAGATTCTGTGGTTGTGAGTGATACAGCCAGGCTTCTGACTTAAGTACTCTGAGAATTTATGCTTTTAATGATGTGCCATACTGTGTCATGGCCTTCTGTGACACACAAGAAGTGATTCATGCATTCAGTTGCTAAGGGTAACTCTCACATATCACTCCAGCTACTGCCTTCAAAGCACGTCCGCACAGGCCCAGTGTCAGGTTGGCCTTTTCTCCTTCCCTTCCCAGAGCACAACATCAAGGACTGTGTGTCTTGGTTGACTCTGCTCTGCTCTGCTCTTTTAAAGTTGAACTCTCGTTGCATCACGTGGAGGTTAGAACCCCAGCATTGCCTCCAGATTGTACGTTTTCTCTAAAATAGAAGCCCTCAGCCAGCCAGCACTGTGCTAGTGGAGAACCAGGTTGAGTGATGCCCACAAATTCCCAGATGAATGGGAAGTGGTGACTGCCCTCCAGGACCTCATAGCATAATGAGAGGACAGGGAAACTTTTGCTGTGTTGTGGGAGGGTATAGCCATGTGACCTGACAGGGTCAGGGGATTCACAGGTGACACTGGCACTCAGATGGTTTTGAAGGCTGAGTTGTATATACCCACAGTGAAATGTGGCAGAAAGATGGGGCCTAGTGTGGGGAGCCTGGAGACTTGGGTGGTGGGCAGTTTAACATTACTCCTGAGGAAAGCACAGGCTTCGTAGGAGCTCAGAATATTGAGGATCCCACATGGTTCATTTGAAATATAACATCAGGACTTGCCAGAATAACAGGGGCCAGGTAGAGGCAGCAGAGTTCTATTTATCAGGGGAAATGTTTTATAGAAGCCTAAAGCCCAGCCAAACATGCTGGCATACACCTTTAAAACCCATCCAGGATTCAGAAGGCAGGGACAGGTGGTTATCTTGAGTTCCAGGCCAGCTGGGCTACATAGTGAGAGTCTCGTCTTTAAAAGAAAGCAAGGTACTTTATGGTCAGCTGCACAAAGGTTAAAGGTGGTTTTTATTGCTCTCTCCAGATGATTCCTTTGCCAGTCATTCTCACTCATCTTTTGATGCTCTCTGTGGCGATGAGGAAAGGAGCCTGGGAAGTTCTTCCAATGAGATGGCCATGAAGGCATGCCATTCCTCACCTGCATTGAGGACCAGCAGTTTTTATGGTTTGGCGTCACCCAACTACCTCAGTCAGCCATGTTCTCAGCAAGCTCTAGCCAGTCTTTCAAAGGAGGGTATCAGCTGGCAGAAAGATGCTGCAGGTACTGTAGCTGATGTGGAGAGAAAGCAGTCTGCAGATGTGCCTCAGGGGATGCCTGATGAGAAGCACTGTCTGTCTCCTCCAGTGTCTACTGGAGAAAAACGCTTGGCATATCCAGGACCCAAGACTTCATCAGCAAAGAAAAAAAGGTCAGTGGACTTGGGTTCGACTCCAAAAGGAAAACTCAAGAAGAGATGCAATAGAAAGGCTGACCTTCCACTACAGCTGTTCAGCTCTGACCAGAGCCTACAGTTCACACCTGAGCCCATCCCAGGGACTCTTGATATTGGGGCGTCTTCATATGAGGACTACTTTTCCCCTGATAATCTCAAGGAGAGAGATTCAGAGAGACTTTCTTCTGAGACTCAGCCACTAGCAAGCTCTCTGTTCCACTGTAGAGGGCTCTCAAAGTGGGAGCGAAAAAACATACTGGAAATGTGTGATTTTACTTGCATTGGTGAAAAACCGAGATCCATCAGCATTACTGACTTAATTTCAACAAGCACTTCTAGTCTCGAGAAACTTGACAAGCAAAAAGTGAGTACAGCTTCTAGTTGCATGCCTTTGGTGGGAACATCTGCTAACAACAGCCCAGAGCATTGCAGGCAGCCTGGCCCTCAGTGGAGGGAAGACACAGGCCCAGTAGGGAGCACCCGCCCTGATGGCATGTACAGTCCTGCTCATCGCATCACACCCTTGAAAGGAGATCGAATGGAAGCAAGAGAAGCAATTGATGTTAAAGGCTCCCCTGAAGAAGGCATCGCCCCTCCTGTGTCAGCTTCTCCTGAAGGCAAAGCACATAGCAGTGATCTCAGTTTTGGAGCAAGTTGTAATGTAGAAAAGTCTGAAGAAGAAAAGAACGCATCCACAGGACGTAGTGAAAGTATGTGAATCTCATTTCCGAAGGATTTTTGTTCTGCCAGTATGTAATACTGTGTTCATATTTTAAATGTCACCTATTTTATTTTATTTTATTTTTTTTATTTTACTTTATTTTTTTAATTTTAAAGACACATGTGTTTGATATTTCCCAATGATGTTCTTTAGGATTAGGTGGCAGGCCCTAAGCTTTCTCCCTGAATACACTTCTGTAGGCTGAGTCCTGTGGATTAAAAGAAACAGTAATGCTTGCTTTAAATGGTTGATTCATCCTTCCTGTGTGCTTGACTGTTCAAAGACATGACTGCTAGAGGAATTATTTTATTTTATTTAGGTTCATTTAGCAAGGGGTACAGTAAAGAAACTGCCAAATAATCATTCCATATAACTAGGGAAGGTTTTTCTTGTAAGTAAGAAAGAAGCATCCAAAAACATCTGGAAGAGAAAGAAAAGCAGACTGGACGTGCCCACGGCTCTCTGCAGAGAAGGGAGGACAGAGACAGAGATAGAATGAGAGAGAGAAAGCACAAAGCAAGAGTGGTGAGGGAGCAAGAGGACAGCAAGAGATAAAGGAAGGAAAACTGAGAATTGCAGGAGTGCCTGGGGCCCGGAGCTTTAAATAGAGCTAGGATCCAAGGTGAGAAGGGCCAGGATGCTAAAGTAGGAGTTTTATGCTTATGAATAAGAACTGAGGGAGCCTGGCAGTCAGGAGGGGCTTTGATATGCAGCCACAGGTATATGTCAGAGGAACCATATGTCCTTTCTGGCTCCTTTTGGCTGATGGGAACTGGTTTCACAAGTTCCTGAGGAATGCTACTTTTTATCTAACCACCTTGTATAGTCCAGGTTGAGCTGGCTGTAGAATCAATTTTGGACCAAGTCAGTGGGCTTGCCCTTTTGAGTGGAGGGAGTGGAGGGTACCCTTTGGAGCTGGTATGTTTTCTTCTGTAGAGCTCTAGAGAGCATCAGCCATAATTTTGCCAACAAAAAGTATGAAAAAGAAACTTCTGAAATTTGTCATCACTATTTACTTTTGAAGAAACTTTAGGCAATGTTAAATAAGAACAGATATTTTTAGAACATTTTGCACAATTAAGAATTTGGTTATAGGGCTGGTGAGATGGCTCAGCAGTTAAGAACACTGGCTGCTCTTTCAGAGGTTCTCAGTTCAATTTCCAGCAACCACATGGTGGCTTACAACCATAAATAAAGGGATCTGATGCATACAACACTCCTCCATTTAAAAAAATACAAAAAAAAAAAAAAATTTGCTTATAGATCTCTCTCTGGCCCTCAAGTATTTGGTGTGGCTTTGCTTTCTGCTTATTTGGCTTTTAAGACTGTCATTCTAATAGGTTTATCTATTCCTATCTATAATTATAATTATTAAAGTGATTATTTGTTGAACAATGTAATAATAAGCCATGTGACTATAGGAATTTAGGCATGCATATCAAAAACATCAACAAATTTTACAATCAAAAGTGAAACTTTAGTCTTTGACTATTACTTAAAATTTGCACCAAACTGACTTGTCATCATTTCTACACTTGAGGTGGCTTTAGCCACTATTGCTAGGACAGATGTGTTGGGGTGAAATAATCACAGATCTATCTCTTAGTATAAACTAAGCTCACTTAGTATATCTCAGTATAAACTCACCCAAATCTGCTCAGAACATCAATTTAGTGATTTTTTTTAGATTCTAATCTGATGAATAGCTTGACTTTTGAATAATTTATATTATATTCATAATAGTATTTTGTTATATCAAGATTAATGTGTTCTCAAAATATATAAAATCACATTGACTCCAGAAAATATGAAAGAGTATAATATTTTGGTATTTCAGAATATCCTGTCTTGAGTTCTGAGTTTTTGTATTTTTTATAAAACACTTGAATATTATATATGTAAATATAAATTAAGTGGAACACAACTGGTTCAAGACAGGCTGGCATGCCCTAAACCCCAGCCTTGCAAGTGTGCAGGCGTTAGAAACAGGTGTATTTCTTCATCCAGGGCTCACCCTTCCTGGTCACAGTCCTGAAGGTCAGGCTTCAGAAACAGAGCATACAGGGCATGGGCACTGGGTGGCACTCCAGTACTGGGTGGTACTCCAGAAGGCAGAGATTTGGTGATGATGAAGTAGGTCAGCTTGCTGGTGCACAGGCAGGGATGGGTATGACTCAGTTTGACTGTGATGGAAATGTACTGTAAACTGTCATGTCATCACCACAAGACAAAACACAGGCTTGTAGGGCAGGAAAACCCTATCTAGCCTAAACCTAAGCACTTTCTCTTATACTAATAACATTAAGACTCATGGATATATTACATTGTCCACTGTCAGCCCAGCCTGGACTTGGGCCAGTCAACTCTTTGGGGAATCTACCATAGATATAACCATAAGTCCTTGGGCTGAAATGGAAATTCCATAATTGCCCTACCTAATTCTGGAAGGCTGCTCTGAGCATGAGCTACACACTCCAGACCCCTCACATTGACATGAAAGGCTTTTCAGTGTCTGCTTTCATTTCGCTTGGACTTGTTGACTATAAGATACTGTGCAATAAGGCTTCTAAAGAAAGTTACCAAGAACGTCAGTAGTAGATATTGAAGTGGTGGGGTAGAATTGTTAACTCTTCATGTTCTTGTTCTCTCATTTTATGAGCAATAAACAAGAAGTACCCATTGTTAAAAAGAATAAACTTTGCCATGTCAAGTTCTCACTTCCTGCTTTGTATTAATTCTTGAATTACTATTGAAGGTTAGTTGTAGACCTGTTATATCTCACACTTGATTATGGTTTGTAAGGAGACAGCAGAGAAGGAAACAGTATGCACCCTTACCCCCAACAGGTTCTAAATGTCCTGAAGAAGATAAATGGTAAATCCAGATAGGACTTGCTGTCAGCTAGTGAGTGTATTTGAGGGGGCACAGTAAAGAAACTGCTGACGTGACTGCTCCATCTAGTGGGTTAAGATTTTTACTGTGGATATTGGAGAGAGACCAGCCAAAAGCATCTCGAAGAGTCCAGAACAGAGGGAGAGAAGTAAGAAGTAGACAGAACATGGCCAGCAGACTGAACATAGCCAGGGCTAGGAAGTCAGGAGAGCAGAATAGAATAGTGGAAATAGTGAGTGATAACATAGTGAGAGAATAGTAAGACCAGAGGGAGGAGGAGGAGGAATAAAACCTTGTCTTTATTAAGAGAACAAATGGTATCTGAAAGGAGGGAAGCCTGGCGAACTGGGAAGGACTGTGATGCTAGTGTGGACTTGGAAATGTAGAACAGGTACTTAGGGAGCCTGGCACCAGCATGGGCCTTGATGGGCAGCCACATACATGTCAATGGAGTCATATGCCCCTTCTGCCAGAGGTAAGGGAAATGACTCCTTTTGGCTGATGGGAACCATGTCACAGGTTCCCGAGGAATGCTATCTTTAATGCCCAGAAATCATCCAGTAGTCCAGGTGGAGCTCATCCCTGAACATATGGACTGCCTTCTGGAGTTTCCTTTGGACCTGACAGTAATTAGAAAAACAGTGTCACTCGGTATAGGTGCTTCCATCAGGTACCCAGAAGGCTTCTGTAAGGAAGTTCTACTGACTGCAGGCTGGTTGAGAGGGTGTGTTTGGGTCCGTAGAAAGGAGGAGGCCAGTGCTGCAGCAAGCCATTGAGCCTCTGAGGAGGGGTCACAAATGTGGCAGGAATCGGATCTTTGGGACCTGCCCTCCCCAGCAAGGCAGGGAGTTCCAGTTTGTTCCACAGCGTGATGAGACGCTATTGGGAATTTTGAACTGGAGTAACCAAATCTGATTTGTTTTCATCGTAACCCTGGATACTTTGAAGAACAAACTGTGGTTTAGTGTGTTTGCTAGAAGCAATTACTGTCAACAGTATTTCCTTCCAGATAACTATGTGTGCATAAACATACAAATGAAATATGTTTAGAGGGACTCTATTGCACACATAGAACTGTATTATCCTGTTGCCTTAAAAAGCACAATATCAGTCCTGCTGTTCACAGTAGATAGTTTTTTCTTTAGTATAATCTGTATTGAGGATCAGTGGCATTTTCTGTAATGGGTCAAAAGGGTATAGATATAGAGAAATATAAAATACATTTAATTAGAGATGGACTTTTTTGTAAAACTTTTATTGGTGAAATTAAAAATTGAGTATAGTTTTTGGGATGCATGTCTGCGCTTGAACAGGTTTCTTTGGTGGCGGGGTGGGAGGAGGAGAATGGGTAACCCTGTAATTTATTTGGGACTCTAGTAGGTGATTTTCCCGTCACGTAACTTGATTGCAAATAATTCTTGTGTAAGGTATTACGTCTCTCATTCCGAGGTTGCCCTTTCACAAAGATTGGTCCTACCCAAGTCTGATGCCAGTTCACAAGGACATGATTTTGAAACCTGTTGGGACCTAAGGTGGTGTTCATGGAATTGTAGGTTCCCTTTCCACGTGTGCCTTCCAGCAGGGCCTTACCTTGTGCATGCTGGGAAGCTAGGCAGATGCCTTGGATCATGCAGTTAGAGCTTTCGGTAAGACTATCACTTTGTTCTTTCATTTGGTCTGAGAAGTGCTATAGGAACAATAGTCTGAATGTAGAAAGAAATGCCTATAACCAATATGTGTGAGCATGGAGGTGTTGCTTTCTGTTTTCCTGTATTTAATTTGGAAGCAAGATCTTACTAAAAATCACACTTGGCCTCCAGTTAATAGCCCTCTTGCCTCAGCTGCCGGGACTATGGCTGTATAGCAACACATGAAGCCTCATTTTATCTTTTGACAGTACAAGTCGGGGAGTATGACAAGCAGCCTTGGTGATTATTCAGATGACGTTCTTCTGCCTCTGCTCCCACATGAAGTCAGTCTGAACTGCCCAGTAGACAAAGTCTACCATTGTCCTGAGCACCTTGGTGCATGGTGGAGTTCCTGCTTGTCTTTCACTAGTCACATGGATGGCAAGGTGGCCATATGTCTCACTTGAATACCGGCAGTTAGTACGTTCCACACCATACCCACGTCTGGCCATTGATTTCAGGCAGATTTATCCTGTGCAGTGCATGGTGGAATTTCACATGTCAGCATTTTATACATGTGCGTTCACTTACCTGCGCAGTTTGGCCGCTTCTAACTATTGGGTTGTTTTACACAGTTACCAGCTGATGTGGGTTGATGATAGACCACCATCCTTCCAGAAGTTCTGGCTACCAGATCTTAAGAAAGACAAATTTCAGATGCATAAACATTTGTTGGCCAGCAAAATGGTAGAAAATCTTCCGGGTGGACAGATGTGCTCAAGGCCCAGCCTCTGTCCCTTAACTCAGTGTCCTATTTGGGGCAAGTTTCTATAAAAGTTATTGTGGGCCTCAGACTACCTAATATCTAACTGTACTTCACCATAGGTCTTTAGGGATACAAACCCTGTTCAGGCGTGGTTGGGAAATGCTCTGTAATACTTCATTCCTAAATCCCCAAATTTACCTAACAGGTAGCTTTCTGGCAGTTTAGTGACGTCAATTTCGGCTCATTTGCTTCACCCATGGTGGCAGTCAGCAAGGCATTTAAAAATGGGCTCATGCACTCATCTCTCAGGTGTGGCATCTGTTAGCACAGGAGCAAGTGACACCTGTGTTTTGATGGGACTGAACACGTAAGCTGTGTGAGTCTATACTGAAGGACTCTAACCACCAGATCATCATTTTCACCAGATGTTTAACCCTACTGTGTTAGTCTGTGATGGGAGTGACTGGAACTGCTGTGCTGATCTTGGGTGGCTGGAAGTCACTGCCTGTGGCAGCTCTAGGCTTATCAGGACAGTGAGGCTGCAACAGTCAGGGCTTTGACAGGGGCTCCTGGGATCTCCAGAGGTACGGAGCCAGTAGGACATGCTGATAATGGTTGTGTAGGAAGATGGCAAGCTCAGGATCTTGAGGAGCATATGTGTGTGTGTGTGTACATGCACATGTACATATGCTCACACTTGCACTTTGTGAGAGCTGCGGTTCCGTCCTGTGTGTTTTTGTTTCTTGAGACATGGTCTTGCTCTATAGCCTAGCCTAACCTTGAGCTGCGTTTCTACCTCGGCCTCTAAGGTGCTGGGATTATACTCTGTTCCTTGGCACTTTTCTGCTAGGTTCTTTTTCCTAAATTTGTATTTGATTTTACGAAAACTAGATCAACACAGCATGTATACAAAGAGGCTAGAATGGAAATGAGAGGCATCTAGATTTATAGTTTGGATAGAACATTGTGTCCACGTCCATGCCCACCTCCACCCCAGGTTCTAACCCAACCCTAGATGAGAGCACTTAGAGATTGGGCAGTCGGGAGAAAATTACATTCAGATGAGCTCATAAGGCTGGAGCCCTAATGATATAACTAGTGTTTTATAAAGAGGGTAAGAAACACCAGGAATCCTCCCTGTCCTCCTTGCTGTAGGAAGCAGAAACAACAAGGTTGCTTTCTGCAAGCTGGGGGCAGAAGCCAAGTTTCAGCGTCTAGTTGAGATCAAAATTCTCAAAGTCTCCAAAACAGGAGATTAATCCTTGTTACTAAATCACCCAGTTAGGGACAACTGTTATGTGGAAGAGTAGCAGTTTGCTGGAGGCTGGCTGCGAGCAGGTGGCCTGGCTTCACTAAGACACTCCAGATAGGTACTTATGGGCTGGTTGCATCTGTCCATACATAGAGAGGAGGTCTAGAGAAGGGACATTGGCTTGACCATGTGGGGATACATGATATTATGGGACATGATGATGGGGTGGGGGAGGTGGCACAGATGTGACAACCTGTGAGTGCAGGGACAGGCATAGCCCAAAGGAGGGTGCCATTCCAGAGCCCCTTCACCCCCAGCTGCTTTTGGTTACCTGGTGACCTTAGAGAAAATGTGAGCCACGTCCTCTGGCAGAGTGGATGGGGTGTATTGAGCCATTCGCTGGCTTTGTGCTGTGACTTGGAGTCCTCCATCCTCTTACGAATATTCCATCCCATAATTACATTTAAGCTCATATCTGAAAGATGATTATAAACAGGTTCTGTCTGTGTTCCATGCCTGTTAGGAGCTAAGAGGTGTTTTTTAGATGATTGTTAGAAGCATCAGGAAGTAATACAGAGATGTTGGTGTCACTTAGAAGGTGAAAAAGTTTGCTACCTCTCAGCGCAGACTCTGGATAACCCTTTACCTGCTTGCTGCAGTCCATCCACCTCTTAAAGTCAATTGAGGGCTTCAGTTACCCATGACCGAGAGGGCATGACATTTTAAAGATGGTTGAAGAGGGAGGGGATTATTGCGTGATTGGTTTGTCTCCAAAAGGATCTAGTGTAGACATTTACAGGCAAAGAATGTTGACTTAACATGTTTATAGGCCCCAGGATACAAATAACAGCTAGTTTGAATTCTCGAAAAGACTTAACTATTATTCTGTATTTTTTAGTTGATTGATTCATTTTTATACTTTTATTGGGGAAGGTGCATTGTGCAAGTGTGTGTGTGTGTATGTGTGTGTGTGTGTATAATTCTGGTTTTGAAGAATAAGTTTCCAAGTGCAACTTCTCAAACTTGGGTCATTCTAGGTTTTACCATCCTGTCCTACCATCTGTGGTACACATTTTAGTTTCTGGAGGTATTTTTATTATTTTGCCTTGGAGGATATTTATTTGTGTGGCCAGCATGGGCACTAGGCAGTGTCCTATAGACTACTGGCCTCACATTGTCTTTGCCCATACCTATATGATATATAGGATGTGCAGTTTAGCTGGCATCATCTTTCTCGACTGCTGCCCGCCAAGATCACGTCTGTTCATGTATGTTTCATGGTAGTTTCTCTTTAAAAAGCCCAACTAATATTTAAATTAAGCAGTCCTTTGGAGAATAAGAACAGAGAGCTCCTGCAAGGGTGCAGTGATAAGGGTCAACTCACACACACACACACACACACACACACACGCACACACACACTACAGACACACGCACCCTGTTCTATGCAGCTGGCATCTCACAGAGCCACATGGAGTAAGTGGAATCTCTTGTGTGTGTTTGTGACAAGAAGCCGGTAAGTGGTTTAATGTATCTGACAGAGAGCCCCATCAAGTATGTGCAGATTAAAACCTGAAGCTTTGTACTGAAGACTAGAAGAACCTAAGCCCAGAGCAGACATAACTGATCCTGTCTAGCAAGTGTCTTCTCTGAGTGTCTTCAGATTTTTCTTGAACAACTGAGTGAATTGCTGGGATATTTGCAGGGAGTTGCCTGCTAGCCCCCCTTTTTTTATATGTGTGTGGTGTCTATATATAGTCACATGTGTGTGGAAGCATGTGGTGTCTAGCCCAGGATTCTGCCATTGTTCTCTGTCTTACCCTTTGAAGCAATGTCTCCCAGTTGAACCCGGTGCTCACCTATATAGCTAGTCATTGACTTGTATAGATTCTGAGTCTGGTTAATTCTGGTATATGATGTTTTTGTTGATTTGCAGGTTTTAAAGTTTAGTTACACAGCACTATATGGCTAGTCTGGCTAACCAGCTTGCCCTGGCTTGCTCCTGCATCAGCCTTCCAAGCATTTGGATCACTAGTGTTTGCCACACCCACACAGCATTTATGTGGGTTGAAGGATCCAAACCATCATCCCCAGACTTGTGTGGCAAGTACATTATCTTCTGAGTTGTCTCTCCAGCCCTCCAACTAGATCATAAGAGCTCTAGGAAGGTGTGGGAGCGATTGACAGAGACTGTGCTGTTCTGTTCCCCTTAGACATAAGCAGAATGGCTAATTTTTGTTTTGCTTGACCTACATTTGTATTAAATCCATGTTGTTTCTAACTAACCCTCACTCCATTTGGATTTTAGGTATTAAAAATGGACCAATGAGGCCAGATACTTCAGAGAGCTCATGTACAGGCCTTGTCAGACCTCAAAAGAGACCAAAGACACATGGGAAAGAAATGAAGGTCAGTGGGTAAAAATATAACTTCAAACCTTCAAATGTTCAGATGTCATAATGTTCTGCTCTGTGTTAATGAAGCAAATTATTCCATGGACCTTGTGTTTCTTTATGAAATTAAGTATAGGTGACTGTGGGGTGGGTTGAATATAACACTGAGAGGTGTTATATTTCTTCAGGATGCAGTGTTGGCCTTGACAAACCTAGCTTCCTAGTGTCACTTTGTCAGCACATGCCTGGCTGTGGACAAGCCTCCTGCAGCTCTCAAGCATAGTGGCAGCCAGTCTCTGTTGCTCTGTGGTAATCTGAAAAATACTCACTAGTTAGGAGCAAAGCACCCGGATACCCCTCGTTTGTGAGTAAATCAAAGCCTGAGGGAAAACCCTAAGACCCCACGGTCTTGAAGCTTACAGAGTCTATGGAGAACCTGAAGTCAACATGGTAGGGAGAGACCATCCTGATATGTCAGAGAGATAACTGCAAAGGCTTGATTGCTCATACTCTGAGTATCCTGGAAGTACTGACTTAGAGGTATGGAGCAGTCAATGGTCATGACTTTGTCACTTTGTGGGTTTGAAGAACAGTAAGAATTTCTTGATAAGTAATTTACACTTTAAAGTATAGCTTCCCACCATGTTGAGATCTTTTGTGTAGGGTGGGGATAGGAGTTTGTTTGGCATCTGGTGGTGGTATGAATCAACAAAAACATTGGCTTCAGTTTGCTCATATTGAAAACTTAACTGTAGGATGTTAGAATTATACTTCTTCATTAAAACTTTATCTACATTAGGCTAGTATCTGTTGTTCTTCCCTCTTCCCCTACAGAAACTGAGGACTTTACCTACTTGTTTTTGATCCTTAATGGATTTTAAGATAACCTGTGTTAAACTGAAATTTGAGACTTTGACATGGCCCTTGTTTTATGTACAATGCAAATTAAGGGACTCCATTTTATCCAGCACAGAACTTGTTCTTGTTTTCTGTTTAAAATCTTGTGTTTGAGCCAGGGATGTAGCTCCAGTGTAAACCTGCCTGGTATGTGCGAGACCCTGGGTTTGATCTGTAGTGCTGCAAACAAATGAGCACCTTGTGACTGAATTTTAATGTTGAAAGGTTTCATCTGCTAATGACTGTGCCACGTGTCCCTGTGAGGGAGACAGCCCTGGTGGCCAGAGCAGTGTTTTCTTGTTAGAGCTGGTGTCTGAGCTGCCACCATGGGGAGGGACACAGCTTGAGCACAGCGTTTCTCTTGGCCCTAGTGATCCTTTACTCTTCTTAAAGTGGCAAGGGTAGGTAATGCCCCATCCCAGTACCGCTGCAGAGCAGGCCAGAGAAGATGATGCTGTACCCTGTGGAACATGAAGGGTAGGGAGTCCAGGACTGGTGAGTGTGGTCCCTGGGGGTAGAGCTCAGTCGTGGGGCCACTGAGAAGACCTAAGATCCGAGCATCAGGGAGATGAGGTCGCCTGGGACAGTTGCATCACAGTGCTCTGTGATTGTGAGCCTTCTTGAGGGCCATAGGCCACCTAGTTTGATCTTTGATTTGTTCTGAGAAATTACCAGCTACTGTTGCTTCTGTCCATTTATTTTTTCTTACCTCTGTGTTGCTGGCACTATGGTCATATGTGTTCCCCATCACTTCTGGAGTTCATACCTGTGATGCTTTTTTCCTCTAGTATCTTTTTTAAAAACAGGATTTCACTCAGTAGCTCTGGCTAGCCTGGAACTTGCTATGTAGACCAGGCTGGCTTTAAATTCACAGATGCTTGCCTCCTCCTTCTGAGTTCTGCCATTAAAAGACATGCACAGCTAAGCCTGGCTTCTCTTGTATCTTTGCTTATTTTTTTTAATCAAATTTGTTTCCATCTTCCCTTCTGGTCACTCTTTACAAGTCTATTCTGATGCTAAACCTACACACTGAAGTTCATCATTCATTCATTGTTCTTCGTCATTTTATTTGAAATTATCATTTTCAATTCTGTACCATGCATGCTCATTTTAAAGTCAATCCCTGACACCTGCTTTTCCTTGTTTTTATTTTTATTAACTGCAGTTTCTCATAGTTTTCAGTCCTGCTTTCCACAGCTAGTAACATGGTGGCTTGGCGTCCAGTCAGGAGGTGGGATGGCTGAGAACTGGGCGTCTCTGGGAATATGAGCCTAAGATGTCAAGTCAGCCGTTCTGGTCTCCCAGCTGACTGCCTGGGCAGTGTTGTCACAGACAACTCTTGCCTGTTTGTACCTTGTACAGTTTTCTGATTGATTACAATTTGTTGATGGGCCTACAAGACTCAGTGTACCACTGCTAGAAACTATGGGATAATTTTTATGTTCTTTTTAAGAAAGAAGACTTAAAATGGTGGGTTTTAGGGATACATGCATAGATATATATCCTTTTATTGATGAGTTTTGTCATGGGGTATAAATATTTGTTTATATGTATGCTTGAATGTAAAGGACAAAGTCAACATTGCTCCATACTTTATTTCTTGAGGCGGAAACTGAACCTGGAACTCACTGATTGGATAGACTGGCTTAGCCATCAAGCTTCAGGGATACACTGATTTTCATGTCTCCTCTCCACTGCTCCAGCCTGACTTTTTCCATCGATGCTGGGATTTGAACTCTAAGCCCCTTGCCTGTACTGAAAGGGCTTTCCTCCCAAGCATCTCCCCAAACCCCCACAAACATATCTTTGTGAAAAGAGTAAGGAAAGACTTTCTAAAACAATTGTTCAAGAGAAATACATTAAACATCTAAATGATTATTTTGATTGGTTTTGTTTTTTGTTGTTGTTTTATTTTGTTTTTGTAAACTTGATACAAGCTATTGTTTTCTGGGAAGAGGAACCTCAGCAGAGAAAATGTCTTCATCAGATAGCCTGTAAGCAAGTCGGAAACATATTTTCTTCTTTTGTGATTGATGTGGGAGGGTACATCCACTGGGGGCATTGCTGCCCATGGGCAGGTGGTCCTGAGTTGTATGAGAAAGCAGGCTGAGCAAGCCAGTTAGCAGCATCCCTCCATGGCATCTGCTTCAGCTCCTGCTCCAAGTTCCTGCCTTGGCTTCCCTCCATGATGGACTTTTCCTTCCCAACTTTTCTTCCCAAGTTCCATTTGGTTATGGTGCTCATCAAAGTGATAGACACCCTAACTAAGCTAGTGTTCTCTTTAGCAGTGATCAAATAAATTCATTAAAGAGTGTATAGTCTTAAGATTATAGCTTCCATTAGGAGGTTGACACCCACTTTCAGTGGGAAAAGTCACTTTACAAATGAATCTGGAATCAGTCTTTTCTAGATTGACAGTTCTAGACATTTGTTTGCCCTCTTTTGACTTTGAGGACTTTGTTAAGCATTTCATCACCTCTCCTCTTTTACTTTACAGTATGTAGGGTGTAGGCAGTGATAGCATTATACATCTTTCTGGGGAGGAGGTAATATAAATACTCAGGCAAACTGACTGTTGAGTATTGTTGAGCATAGAACTCGAGGAAGATAAATGTGGGCTTCATGCTTCAGCTCTGTGAAACTACATAAACTCTGTTCCTCTGAAGTTTTTTGGTTTTTTTTTTTTTTTTTTTTTTTTACTTCTGGACTTGTTGTTGAAAAGATTATTATCCTCAGCAAGAATTTAACCTGAATCATCAACTGCATAGTTCTTGGTCAGTGGCTCAGTTTTAAAAGTCTCATTTGGGACTATGCCTGCCAATCCAGGTTGTTTCGCAGGAAGACAGGCTGTGGGTCAGAGCACAGAGGGTTTGCAGATGGCTTTCGTAATGTGAGCCTTGGGGAGAAACAGGACCGAATGCACTGCACCTATTTTGACAAGGTTATGTTGTTATTATTTTTTCTTTTTTTTATTAAATTTTAGTTTTTTAATATTAATTACAGTTTTATCACTTTGTATCTCAGCTGTAGCCCCTCCTTCATTTCCTCCCAATCCCACCCTCCCTCCCTCCCCTCCTCCCATGCTCCTCTCCAAGTCCACGGATAGGGGGTGTCCTTCTCCCCTTTCATCTGACCCTAGTGTATCAGATCTCATTAGGACTGGCTGCATTGTCCTCCTCTGTGGCCTGGCAAGGTTGCTCCCACCTCAGGGGGAGGTGATCAAAGAGCCAGCCACTGAGTTCATGTCAGAGACAGCCCCTGTTCCCCTTACTAGGATACCCACTTGGATACTGAGCTGCCATGGGCTACATCTGAGCAGGGGTTCTAGGTTATCTCCACGAATGGTCCTTAGTTAGAGTATCAGTCTCAGAAAAGACCCCTGGGCCCAGATTTTTTTCATTCTGTTGCTCTCCTTGTGGAGCTCCTGTCCTCTCCAGGTCTTATTATCTTCTTATTATCTTCCCCCTTCTTTCATAAGATTCCCTGCACTCTGCCCAAAGTTTGACTATGTGTCTCAGCATCTGCTTTAATACACTGCTGGGTAGAGTCTTTCAGAGGTCCTCTGTGTGTGGTAGGCTCCTGTCCTAGTCTCTGTTTTCTCTCTCTCCTGATGTCTGCCCTGTTTGCCTTTATGAGTGAGGATTGATCATCTTACCCAGGATCCTCCTCCTTGCTTAGCTTAGGTGTACAGATTTTAGTATCTTATATGTCTAATATCCACTTATAAGTGAGTATATACCTTGTGTGTCTTTCTGATTCTGGGATACCTCACTCAGGATAATATTTTCTAGGTCCCAACATTTGCCTACAAATTTCATGATTTCCTTGTTTTTAATTGCTGAGTAGTATTCCATTGTGTAAATGTACCACAATTTCTCTATCCATTCCTCCACTGAGGGACATCTGGGTAAGAAACCATACACCAGGTAGAATGCTTGCATTTCTATTTGCAGTTCAGAATATTTTGTGTATTTATTATTATTATTAATTGTGTGTGTGTGTGTGTGTGTGTGTGTGTGTGTGTGCATGTTCACCTGCCTATGGGTAGATGCATGTGAGTATGCATGCATGTGGAGGTCTAAGGTTGACACTGGAAGTCTCCTTGATTGCCCTTCCCCT